TTTACGAGGCCCCCGCCAGGCAGCGCGGGCGCCCTTCCTCCGCCCCGAATCGTCGTCCGACGCGAATAGAGTTTGCGGCTCGTGCGGGGGGGATTGCGCGAATTTTTCAGGGGTTTCCGCCGCGATTCCTCTCGTCCGAGGCGGGCCAGTGTGGGTTGCGTTTCGGTTTGATTATTATTAATTAACATCTCTGCCCGGCGCTCTTCAGATCGGTTTTGAGGCCGAGTTGGGGATTTTATTTTGTTTTTCCTTCCCGGTTGCAATCCTCGAGGTGGCGTGCGGAATGGGAGAATGTGGCGTCCGCGCCAGGGCGTTTCGGTTGCGATCCCGCGGCGTTCAATCGCTGTTCCTGATCTACTACGGGTTTGTTAGCGTTCGCCTCGTCTGAGGCGGCCTTCGGTTTGGGGATTCCGCCGCGATTCAACCGATTCCGGCGCAAATTGCGGAGGGGCTAACACCCCTCCCCGTCTGTACCATCATCCTTCCGCGGCTCTGCCTGTTTTAAATGCGTTGGTTGGCACCTAATTCGCAGCCTCCTCCTCGAACCTTCCAGAGTAGATCTCTGGCCCCGCTGCGCCAGAACGACTGTTCATGGCGCGTGGTGGATTTGTAGTACCCTTCGGCCTTCGCGCGGAAGTCATCTCCGCCATTATTTTGTTGATTTTGTTCTGATTGAGTGCGTGGTTCGATTTGTTTTTCGAGGATCCGTTTCGCTTTTGTCCGATAGTGTGGCCACTGTTCCATCCTTTTATTTTGCTGCGTCCATCACGTGTTTCGTTGGTTGGGAAATGGTTAGTCGCTTCTGTCAAGTCTGTTGGTGATTGATGATATATCTAACAAAAGAGAGAAACTCTGTTTGGCTCCAAAAAAGGATAAACTGCCGCCATTAGAACGCATCTTTATTTGTGTGCTCGATTTACTTTACTTTCTTGGCTGTATCTGTTCATAAGGGGATGCAATTTTGTCTGCACTCTTGAGAGTCAGATACTGAGGCAAAATCTCTTTTACCTCTTGCAGATTTTTCGATGAACGTGCTGGGGGGATCTGAAGATGGCTTCAGCGTGTCCACGCCGATGCATTGGATGATGCGTTGCTGAGTTTTACTGAAGCCGCAACAAGCATGTCAGTTGTGCAAATAATGATGCATAACCATTCATGCTCTGACACCCCCGTCTGGACCTTTCTTCTTCTTATGCAACCCTGTACTAGCGAACCTACTACCGTCATGAGCTTCAAAGGTGGTGCGGGTTCAACAGTGCTCGGTTTTGTTACTGTTCAGTGATTCCTGCTGAAGCCTCTGTCAGTGAAGTTAACGACCATGGAAAGGTGAGCTATAGTTATTTTTTGCCCATTGTATATTTTCTGGCGGATGAACTAGTTTTTGACGAGGCTTCTGAATTTTTGCAGGTATAAAGTAGTAAGGGAGATTGGTGATGGGACTTGTGGAAACGTTTTTAGGGCTTACAATATAGAAACAAATGAAATTGTAAGTGCATTCTTGTCAAAGGACTCTGCTTTCTTGTAACTTTTATATTAGCCTCATTTTTCTTCCCTTTGTCTATCCTGTGACTTTTATGCTTGTAACCATCAGAGATTAGCAATTTTAATTTATTTTTTACTACATTCAGGTTGCTGTTAAAAAGATGAAGAGAAAGTTTTACCACTGGGAAGAGTGCATCAGTCTGCGAGAAGTAAAGGTAATATTCTTCAGTGATGGGTATATCATCGTATCTGATCAAACAGCACTGTTTTGCATTTTGTGTTAATGGAGAACCATCCTTGTGCAGGCCCTCCAGAAACTAAATCACCCCAACATAGTGCAATTGAAGGAGGTGACGATGGAAAATCACGAGTTGTTCTTCATTTTTGAACACATGGTATTATGTTATTCTTGGCATCGGTTTTACTGTTTAACTTATGGAAGCAAAACATTAATAGCAATTCCTACATGCGGTCTGTTATCTTCTTTTTGATGTTTGTACCAAGTGTTATGACTACCTACATGTGTCTCAGGGATAATCACTAGTCTTGTAGTGTGTATTTACTTGGGTTCACATTTCTTAATTTGTCTGTGAGAAATTCATCTTACGTCGGCTGGAGCCTTTTGAGTTTTTAAACTTCCTATGCTCTCTTGAACATCTTGTGGTACTCAAATGTAACTGATTTCTCCCTTCCAGGACTGTAATTTATACGATGTTATAAGAGAAAGGAGTGCTCCTTTCTCTGAAGAAGAGATACGGAAGTTTATGCTCCAAATACTGCAAGGCCTTGTGTACATGCATAATAATGGATATTTTCATCGTGACCTGAAACCTGGTAATTTGGTGGAGTAAATTCTGTTTGAATGATGCTCCCTCTGTACCAGTAAAATGACTAATCTAAGGGGAATTCTGTTCTTTCAGAAAATCTTCTGGTGACAAACGGAATTGTTAAAATTGCTGACTTTGGGTTGGCAAGAGAAGTATGCTCCAGTCCTCCTTACACAGATTATGTCTCTACCAGATGGTGAGTTTCTGTATGAAAAGGCCATGTTACTCTATTGGGTATTTACCTTAACCTTACCTGTCATGTTCAAGGTACCGGGCTCCAGAGGTGCTGCTGCAAGCTTCAGCTTACACACCTTCTATAGGTGATGATTCTCTCATTGGTTTAAGATTCTATGCATAAAAAGGATTCCGTTATATTGTAAATTATTTTCTTTTAATTTGTGCTTACTGCTTATATTTTGTTTATTCTATCTTGTTTTCTAATTGCCTAACACATAGTAACTCCCATCTAATACGAGAAATAAATGACACCTTGCCATATTTCCTCATATTTTAATCTTATTGTGTCATTATAGCTTCCCCTTATGAGCCTTTATGCCTGAATGATATTGTCATTAATAAATAAATGTGCTCTTTCACAGACATGTGGGCCATTGGTGCAATTCTGGCTGAGCTTTTTACACTGTCTCCACTTTTCCCTGGTGAAACGTATGTATTGATCTCTACTTTTCATAGCATAAATCTAGACCAGATTACTTGTATCTCTCTTTATATTACACTGACCTCTATCGCTCTGCCTTTCTAATATTTTATTTTATCATAGTGAGACAGATCAGGTATACAAGATATGCGCTGTGCTTGGGACCCCAGATTACTCCCTCTGGCCAGAGGGAATGAACCTGCCTCGTTCAAGTAGCTTCCAGTTTTTTCAGGTGAAAATGAGTTCTGTCTACATTCATTGGATGAAATGCTTTTGTGGCACTAATACTTATCATCTGTTCCAAAGATTCCGCCAAGAAATCTGTGGGAGCTTATTCCTAATGCTTCCCTGGAAGCTTTAGACTTGATCAAGGTACGGCAAAGAACCACTGTTTTTTTTTTCTGGTCTTGGAGCAAAGTTGTCCTTTGCGCGTGTAAAATTGTAGATGCCCCAGTTGATGTCCGTTCATTCTACTTACACCTGGCGTATAAGTATCAGCACTAAGACTTCTGTCATGATGTTTCTCTGTAATCTATATTGCATTGTTACATAGATTGTGATAGCAATGAGTTTGAATGCTGTGAATAATCCAGCTTTTGTCCTTGATGTTATTTATGTGGTGATAATTTTCCTCATTAACCTGCTACTGTTTTCTCGTCATTTTTATAGCAACTTTGCTCCTGGGATCCACGAAGAAGGCCAACTGCTGAGCAAGCACTACAACATCCATTCTTTAATGTAATAATTTCCACATTGAGTTGTCTACGGGTACTTTGCTTTGCTTTTCTCTGTACCTTAGACTTTTGAGTGGTCTAGGTGCGCAAGTGGGTACCAAGACCTCTCCATGATGCTTCCTACTCAAAGAGGAATGAGCCTAGTGAGTTCTGTAATCACAGTTCATTTGCTAGGAAGTTGATACGAAAATCTAATACATTTAAGGTTTTTCTGATCGAGCTCCCACTTCCTTTTGTAGGAGCAACACCACCAAGGTTGGAACTGGACCTTTGGTGTTTTGGTAAAGAATCTGATGACCTTGATCTAACTCTCAGCCTAAAGCCAAGCTCTGTATCGGGTACCAAAACATTTCACTCCTGTTGAATATTATCTTGTGTGTACCATTGTTCGAAAACAGTAATCGGTCATATTGAACCTGCACATGAAACTTGGAAGGAATACCTTAAACTGCACTCCTGTAGTGTTGCTCTTGGGTGTTAATAGTTGAAACCGTATTGTATTAGCTGGAAACAAATGTGTTATACTAGTCAGAACATGATGATTACTGGCTTCAGAGTTTCTGTACAGCAAAACGGGATAAGATATTATGCTGGACTAACCCATGTTCTAACATGCTGTGAGATATAAGCAAATTGATGTTGAAACAGCTTAAATGCATTCATGCGACAGATTTATCTTTTCAAAGTTAAAAAAAAAAACACATGTGCTTAATGTGTTGTTTCCTCTGACTTATGTTCTATATTGTTTCCCTTTCTTGTAGATCTTGGTAAGCATGTTCCAGAACATAGACAAGAGGTGAGAGTTGCTCTTTGTGACATGGGAGTTACATATCCGAGTGAAAATCTAGTGTTTAAGCTAAACTTTTGGTTGTCCTAACATGCAGGAAAATCTTCTATACCCAGGTTATGGGAATCCTCCTGTACAGCCAGGTACATGGTTTTCCTCTGTTATTAAATCTTGATTTGGAACTGTTTTCTACTGCATACAAATATGTGCATCGCATACCACAACCAAGTGCATCATCATCTATCGGATATTTGTGAACCACTTCACGCGGATAAAAGCGTAAACAATATGAAGCGGAAATTCAGATCTAGTAATGAATCTGTTTGATTTCCCATTATAAGAAACCGCCAAAGTCAGATATATACACTTGACTAAACTAATCAAACTTTCCTGATATGTTTATATGCTTTGTAATCATTGCTATGATAGAATCAATCATGGTTCCGTGTTGCTCAGAGACGTGGGTTTGTTTTTTTGATGAAAACAGGGCTGTGGCCACTCATGTCATCATCGCATCGGCCGTTGGGGGAAGCCCCGGCCATGCCATCCTGGCAGCAGGCGTACATTGCTGACAGGTACGCAGCTCACATATCTAATTCCACAAATGCGTAGTACGAACTCTCCCAAAACCAGACCAGATTCCATTCCCCGCTCACTCATGATTGCTTCCGTTTTGTTTGGGGTGCTTTGCTCAGCCAAGCCACCGCGCTGCCAGCTGCTGGGGGAGGAGGGGGAGGGGGAGGATTCCCGGGCTCTTCTCCGTTCGGGCTGTTCCCTCTGCAGCCCAACCTGATGGAGAAGCGGTCGCTGGCGCCGGCGCCCATCCGGCAGGTCAATTTCTTCTGACCGACGGCTGAACAATGATGATGATCCCCCGGGTTTGACAAGAGCAGCAGAAGATCATCATTATCATCATCATCATCCGGAGTTATTTTTTATACGAGTGCTAGACTCGGACAATAAGCCGCGCGGGGCGGCGAGGCGAGGCGACGACAGCAGCAGACAACAAACATGTACATACATATTCGTAGTAGGTTGACATCAGGTCATCATCGTATTTGAGACTCTGTTACTCTGTACATACAAACAAACAGTTTTGTACGAACGACCGTGGTTTTTCTCGATATATATTTTATAATATCGACGAGTGAGTGAGTGAGTGATGAAGATTCAAGTCATATGGCCATTCCTACCACACATGTGATTCTTTGATGTCTGCAATTGGTTTCTCTATGATGATATCCCTTGTGATGTTGTTTCTGATGGTGAAGTTTTTATGGCCTTGATGTGGTGGTCGTGGTGACGTACCAGGAGCTGACACTGGTTGGGCTGGAGTGTTGGATGCACGGAGTAAAGGCAAGGCAAGGGCATTGAAGTGAAGTGACGACGTGACGACGTACACTACTATTACTAGCTTGATGTAGTACGAGGGGGTGTAGGCGTGCAGGGCGTGGGCGCCTGCCGGCCGGACGTGACCACGGTGGAAAGAAAAGGAGAGAGCGGAGTAGTAAAGGTCGGTTCTGACAACGATGTAATGTAGCCTCAAGGAACAGGGCTGGAGGTTGCGTGGCGGTGCTTCAGTACCGTTTTCGTCCTTGCTTTCTTTCTTGGTCCGCGCGGCACTGATCAATCAAACATAATAGGTCTCACCTAGGTTTCAAAACAATGGTACTACGAAATGTTGTACAGATTGCTTAAGTTGTAGTACTCCGTTTTTGACACTTGAAAGTGTCAAAAAGAACGTCTTATATTTGGGAGTAATTCTTTTCCTAAATCCTAAACTGACATTTCCCGCAAAAAAAGAATCCTAAACTAACATAGTCCGAAAAAGAAAAAAGCTCTATTGTTTTTTTTTTTGCGAAAAAACTTCCAATCTATTCATCTTCAATCATTGCAGTACAACGAACATCAGAAATAAAAATTACATCCAGATCTGTAGACCACCTAGCGACGACTACAAGCACTGAAGCGAGCCGAAGGCGCGCCGCCGTCATCACCCCTCCATCGCCGGAGTCGGGCACAACTTGTTATAGTAGACAGTCGGAAAGTCTTCGTGCTAAGGCCCCATAGGACCAACGCACCAGAACAGCAACCGCGGCCGATGAAAAATAACGTAGGTTCGAAGGATTCAACCCGAAGACACACGAACGTAGACGAACAACGACGAGATCGGAGCAAATCCACCAAAGGTAGATCCACCGGAAACACACCTCCACACGCCCACCAACGATGCTAGATGCACCGCCGAAACGGGGGCTAGACGGGGAGACCTTTATTTCATCTTCAAGGAGTCGCCGGCGTCTCGTCTTCCAAAAAAAAAAAGCTCTATTGTTCAAAGAAGAAAGAAAGAAAAGAGAGTGTAAGCAAAGCAAGGCTGTTTCCTAGCTGGCCTGGCCTTGTCCTGTCTGAATTGACCTGACCTGGCCAGGCCATCCAAGGTTGGTCACACCGGTATGGAAGCCAGCCGCTCCTGCAGGAAAGTAAAGCTAGAGCTGCTGTCGCTACCACCATTGATGAGATGAGCGGGCGCACCCCTGGCGACCGTGTAACTCGGCAGTGAATGTCACTGACACGGGCGTAAAAGTAACAGCAGCGAATGCCACGATACCTCTTTTTTTCTTTTTTCTTGTTTGCGAATACGAATGCCACGATTCCTCTCCTGTTTTTCCCAGCCAACAAAAGAAGAGATTATTTACTACTAGTAGTATCACATTATTAATTTCTCGTCCGGGTGCGACAGGTGTACTACTACAGTATGTTCTCCCGCAGGAAAAAAAGGGGTAGGGAAATAGTAGGAGTACAGCGTGAAGTTTTTTTTGTTTTTTTTTTGAGAGAGAAGTAGAGCGTGAAGTTGGGCACCGGCACTGTCCACTGACCGTACTGCCAAGCAAACTCTCACGGGAAAGAAACGAGATACTAGTCGGTACGACGACGAGTCGACGACCATGATCATTATCATCATCATCTCTTTGGTGTCTGTCCGTTATACATGATGGACCCTACTCACCCTGCCTCTGGTCTCTGGGCGGGCATGTGTTCAACGCGGCTGAGTGCTACTGCTCGTGCCAATCCATCTCCATCCGCACCCATATCCCGCCCTCACGTCGCTATACAGCATATCTATTGCGTTTCGTGACACTGCCCGTTTGGTATCTCGTACGGGTTGAAACCGTTTTCCCTCTCTTGCGACAAAAAAACTAATACTAGAATATTCCCGAAAGTAGTAGTACAGTAGTATATTCTGATTAATTAGTTAATGAAAATATTTACAAAAGCATCCAAAAGATATTTACAAGAGAGAAGAAGTGACCGGAGAATGTGGTACTACTACACTTTATGCCTAATAACGAAACAAACAACAGAATAAATCTAAGTTCGAGTAGGACCAGGTTAATAAGGCGCCCAACGCGTGCGAGCGAGTGGCGTCGAGCGTGAGTGAAGCTCGCTCGCTCGTCGTGTCGCCACGCCAGGCCAGCTGCTGCCGCCACCAGAAGCTTCCGTTTCTACTAGTAACCTGATTTGGACCGCTCTCATTATGATTAGCCAAGATAACAAGCCAACAATAAATTATCAACAGCTACCACTACTAGTACTACTACTTCTTGCTTCCTCACTCTGAGGAGCCGGTGCACGCAACACCCAAAACCGTTCCAAATAATAAGAGCGGCACATGATCAATAAACATCCATACAATATATAGCAAGTAAACCCTAACAAATAAATAAATAGTAATAAACAAATAAAAGGAAAACATCTACTACCAAATAGTACCGCTCACGCGTTTCCCATTAACAGATGCGTGCATGAGGAGTTGTGCTAGCCCAGCGTTGTGGGAGAGTATTTATATGCTACTACTCCTACATTTTTTCCCCCGGGCAACGGCGAGTTTATCGCATTATGTACTACCACTATATATTTTCTAGCTCGCTCTTACTGTCTAGACAAACTCAGTGCTACATACATACTACGGCACAAAAAGCGACGTCCCATGTCCCTTTCATAAAGAAACATAGGAGTGTAATTAAAGATGGCCTTCAAATGGGAAGACTAAAACACTGTGTTTCGCTTCAAGATATCCGCACATGTGCTACAAGCATACATGTTGGAAATTCTTTACCATATGAGATCGCGCGTGTGTAAATGTGGTGTCGGATTTTGAACATTGGTAGATAAAGGTTGCACGTTGCAATTATGGCACCGTGTCAAGCAATGCCGCCCACAACAATTCGAACCTTGGCCTTTCCAGCACCAACTCTGACATCCATGTTGCAAGCCAAAATAATTTTACTGACTCAATAGAACCACCAACTCAGAGTGATCAACATGAATTTTATGACATTAGGATCACTTTCATTCCACCGCCACACTGCACATCTAGACATCGAGGATCCAAGAGCGAAAAATGGGCTTCAGGGTAACCATGTTAGTCCACGTGTTGCCACCGACGGATTGGTCTCGGGGACCATCTTATACCGCGTTCCCTCTCCCGATCCTTACTAAAACCGAGGTATTTGGCCCCAAAAAATGTCGGCCCACACGAGACAAGTTGCTTCTTCGGCCCGTGCTATTGCTTTGGGCTGAGAAAATCGCCCCTCCTAGTTGTCATGTTCCGCCACCGCGTGCAAATTGACATGCTCATAAAACCCCTATCTAGACCGTCAATGTGGATCATACTTTGAACTCTGGTAGGTTGAACTATACGCTACAATTATGACTTTCATAATTCGGACACTTGTCCTTTGTTGCATCGGTGGATTCGACATCCACATCATGAATAAAAACAAAATCCTCAAATAATGGTGCATTAGAAGCCCAGAGCAAGACGAGACGAAACTAATGAGGCGACAAAATGAAAAAAAAAACTAAGAATGAGGCTAACACACTGGAATAATCCCAGCACAACAACACTCAGATAGAACAAAAATGAATGCATCACCACTTGTTTTCTTGATAGTAATGCTGATAATAAACTTGTAGTAGGAGTAAATGAGTAATAGCAAAGCACAAGATCATGGCTTGATGCCCACCATAGGTTTGTCTGCCACATGGGTCCCACCTGAACCCAACCCAACAGATGTGTTGCAAAGGGGAGGTGGGGGCGACGGGCTATACATATGAGCAATCGGTCTTCTCTCTTCGGTTTCCTCCTTCTTGAGTTTTATGATGATGCTAATGCTTGCCTCAAGTTGGAATCATTTTTTTACCACAGTCACTTGGTGAAGATCCGTGAATTGCTTCCCCATACTGTAATGAGAGAAGCCATCACTAAAGCATGTCTTCACATGTATGCTATCACGATGTGGATCACAAGCTTCAAATATAACCTCTGGATGCTCATCTTTTGAACTAGATGACCATCACCACAAAGCCTTCTTAAAATATATTTTCGATGCAAGCTCATGAGAAAACCTAACCCACATGAACATAACAAAGACATAGCATGGGTTAGTTCACAAAGCTCAATTCACAATTACTTACCACACCACTAGACCACTTGATCCCACACGGTACAATATCTGTGTTTGTGTGTTGGCCATCTAGATACAATCTTTGAGCTTCAACTTGGTCAACCAACATCTTTACCTCATGATCCATATTTGTTTCTTGAAAGCCACAATGAACATTTCATTTCACTTTATTGCTTCAATACTATATCAACAAACACTCTTTCATGACCATGTCAAGTCTCACCATGAATATCATATTGGTCACCACTTGTTCTTCTAAATGCTCCATCAGAATCTCTTGAGAGGCACAATGAAGTATTCACTCTAGTTGCCTGCTTCAAGACATGGTCAACTAAAACACAACACATGAGGTCACGATTATTTTTTCTTGAAACCATA